GTGATGACGCCCACTACAGGAAGTGATTTGACAAGATGGCTGCAAGGCAACTTTTGACCCAAGGTTTAGTATAGAAACAGTACTTTTTAATAATTTTAGCTATTTTTCCTAAGATTCTTTCTTTATTACCAACTTATTTCAGGGAAAAAAAATTTTGGGTGTAGTTACCCTTTAAATCACCTAACTTAAGAGCATAGGCGGCTGCAGGATTTGACTACTAGTCGGGCATGGGTGTGGCACAGGAAATGGGTTGGGCGCGCGAAGCGCGCCGCGATTTTGGCCACACCCTCTTTTACGCACCCTTTTTAGCACAATTTTTTGGTAGCGAAGGTTATTGTAATAAAGTAGTGGGTGGTGTAGCTCCAACACTGACTTCTGTAGTGGTAATAGTACTAGTAGTAGTATTAGTAGAGGAAGTAGAAGAATAGGGTGATGGAGAATGAGCAACAATTGACTGTACATCAACTGTAGCTGTAAAAACTGTAGCTATATCAACCACAAGAGTAGACTGAGACTCATGATCATCAACTCTCAGCAAGAAACTGACCTAAAATAAGAATTATGAGATAATCTGTATTATTGACTTCTATACTGTACTTACTAGGTTCACTTTGTAAACTGTTGTTCCTTTTTAGCAGGCTTGTTCACAAAGGACATAGTGAAGCTAGTCCAGGCTTTTAGACATTGCAACTGACAAGAAAAGAACACTGAAATAGCACTAAATAATGAAATGATTATGCTTTCTAGTGTTGCTGTGGTGGCCCACTGTGATTGGCACCAAAGTCTTACCACCTCGAGCTCCTCCTTTATTTAGTCTCTCTTCATCACCTTGTTATCAGCCTGCCATTTATGCATTCATAATTATAAGATTTTCATAAAAAAATTGAAATTATAATTGCAATAACTGTTATTAACTGTTAATTAACCATAGAATAACTATTAATTATGGTGATGTCACATTTCCGGTCAGAATTTTTGGTCGGGCATTGCCCCTAAATGCCCGACCCTGCAGCCGCCTATGCTTGCTATACCAGGAAAACGAGCTCCTATGCTTACCAGACTTTTTAGAGGACCTCATCTTGACCAGAGGACTCCATTGGTACCAATAGCGTGGCTCTAAACCTAGTCTAAGGGGAAAGCCAAAAATCTGCAAACCGGCCGTTTTGTTCAGCCACCTTTTTTCATCTTCATCATCATCATCAT